AGCGAGGAGGACAATTCAAGAAGAGGGAGAGGAGCCGGCGGGAGGCTTCCCTCGGCAGGCACACAAAGCGATCTCTCCAGGCAGTTCGGGAAAATACCGAGTTCTTCAAACACAGGCGCTCGATTACAATTTGGGATTTGGTTTTCTGTTTCACCCCCGTAATACTCAAATGAGGAGGGTCTCCAAAGGTGCTCCCTTCCCTTGAGCTGGCGAAGCTGACCTTCGGAAAGGCCACACAATTGGAAGTTCTGCTCAGGAGCCCAAACACTTCCTCGGCCGCTTGTCAACAGGCCTTAAAACTTGCCCCTTCTTTTCCTGTCTTGCCCTCGGCGGCTCGTCGCTCCAGCTCTTCAAAAGGGCGCTGGGAGTTCTTTCCGGGGCTTTAGGAAGGAAAAAGAAGACTCACTGGGAGCGGTGGGAGTGTTTTGGGGGCTTCAGAAGCCCATGCCCAGGAGCCGAGGAGGGAACGGAATGCCCTCCTTTATCACCGGGGAGGTCTAGATCTCCTTGTTTGAATTGCAAACACCAAGATTACCTGCTTATTTATAAACGATCGGATCCCAAATATTTGGTTTTAAACCCCCCCCCCCCAAACTCAACGTTGTAATTTATATCCCAACGGAAATTTTATTGTGAAATAAATCCGAGCGGGTTAAAACGAAGCGGAGAGCAATCATCTTTGCTGCCGGGTCGTATTTCTGTCTCATTCGAAATTTGCTCCATTGTTCTCCAGTCCCTTCCTTTGTTAATATTTAATTATCATAGATCCTTACAATGGGCCGGGTCAACGAGGAAGTAAATGCCTCTCTCAAAATGCTCGTAACACGGATGATTATCCAGATACCGATAATTATTATTTTTGCATATAAAATGTTGACAGTATAAAATCTGTAGCATATTAACGCGGCAGGGCGATCTACTTCAAAACAAACGTTTATTGGATTCACTGCACAAGAGACAGGGAATCGGTCACGTTCTTGGGTCAATATTATTAGAGGAACAGTTATTCTGTTTTCCTGCTCATGGTTTTGCACGAATATATGTAATTCCTGTTTGTTTGTTTTTTTAAAAAGTATGCAGTGCATCGAGTATGGCAAGACCTAACTTAGCGAATCTTCAAAAAAAGGAGCACAGTAAAGGAAATTCACGTATGGGAGAGAGTTAGGAGGAGAGTGATTTCTGCTTAATGTATTTCCCTGAGTGCAGGAACACAGGAAGGGTTTTTAGTTTTATACTTTATTTTTACAGGAGAGCAGCCTCGGCCTTCCTCTTTACGTCGTGTAATAAATACATAAATAAATATTCCGAGAAGTGGGGGGGGGGACCCGGCCTAACCCCGCTATTTCTCCAAAGCTCAAGATTTTGAAGCTGTGGTTGGTTTACATTTTGGCAAGATGAAAGAAAAGTTCCATCTCCCTCCTTTCAAGCCTGGGGATCATTCAGAACCATCTTCTCAGACGGTTTCACCTCCCCCCACCCCAATACGCCGGCCTCCTAATTATTAATGAAGGCCGCAGATCTGCTGCCAAGCTTTCTCAGATTGACTTCTCTCGCTCTCCTAGACATGGGGGGAAACGGAGGGTGTCACCTCGGGACAGGGCAGACTGGGCAAGCGGGCAGCGGGCAGCTCTTGTGGCCTAGCCGAGGCTCCGGAGCAGCCCGCACCCAAAGCCGACCCCGATCGCTGGGGAATGGTGAGAGGGAACCCCTCGCTCGCTCTTTTGAGTGACGCGGCAGCAATCCGAAGCTTTCCACGGGAGAGTGAGGAAGGGAGACCCAGGAGGACCATGTGCCTGCTTTACACTTAAGGCCAGGCTCGAGAACGGCGGGGCCGCGGGGGGAGCGCGCGTAAAAATGGCCGAGGGACTTGTCGGGCGAGCCGGTCCTTCGCCCCAGGCTGGGAGCAGAAAGCGGCTCGAGCCGGTGCACAAAGCCCCCCCCCGGGGGGGGGAGCCGAGAGCTGCTCAGAGCGAGCCACAACAAAGGGGAGGAGAGACGGCCCAGCTTCTGTGGCGGCGGCGGCAGTTCGTCGCTCCTTCCCTTTGCCCAAACGCGTCGCTTCGTCTAAGCAGGGGAAAAGGCGAGGGCCGCTCGAGAGGAACCATCTCCGGGCCTGCCGAAGGAACGAGTCCCCGAGTTCTCTCTGCCTAGAGCCTGGGCGACGGCCGCTTGCCTGCCTCCCTTAGCCGACCGGATGGAAGGCAAGCAGTGAACTTGGATGGAAGTGGAAGCCGGAGGTGGGGTGGGGGGGGGGAATGTGGGGCAGACTGACTTCCGCATGTAGTGCAACAGCCCCCTAACGGAGTTGGCGACGATGCCCTTGGCCTGGGTCCGCCTCTCCA